CAATAACAGATTTCCTTTAAAGAAAAGCTTGAAAGTAGTGCAAATATCAATTGAAAACAAAAACTTAGGCCCCCTGTACACGCTCACATATTAAGATTAGTGCTGAATATTAGTAGTTGTTGTTATTATTGCTGTATGTCTCAAACCCGATTAATTCATAAATTAAAATGTCAAATGCCATCAAAATAAAAAATATTATAAATAGTGCAATCATGTACAAAAATTAAACAGTTAAAATCTCGCATTTTCCATACAAAAACCACAAGCCCACCTACAACGAAAGAAAACCAAGCATATCTTCCAAAAAGAATTTTTCTTAAACCAACCCAAAAAAAAATACCAACAAAGAATGGAACAAACAAAAAGCTTTCAACTACAAAATACCTCTCTGGTTAATGGAAAGCAGTAAGTACCTTTAATTTGTCAAATAAAACTTTTGCCGGATAAACTTTTTTCGAAATATACACACATACCTAATTATGTAGATATGTAGCACTTTTAAAAGCATTTACATGCACCTTTAATTTAAAAAAAAAACAATACTTTGGAAAGTTTTTTGAAAAATATCAAATTTATATTTTATTCGAAATAGTACGTTCTCACGCGCCCCAAATTGCGCAATTGGGCACGATTCCCAATTTAAGCTGAAACTGCGATACGGTTCTCAATTTGGTCACTGAGAAAAACTGGATATAATAGAAAATTGGGTTTAATCGACTAAAAAATGTTTTCATTGGTAAAAATTTTCAAGCAAGAAGAATTAGTGAATGAAATACCAAAATAAATTTAACTAAATGTTCCCACCAAAGGATTAAAAGAAATTATAAATCACAGCATAAAAAAATTGGCATTGAAATTGCAATCAATCACTCAAACAGTTACAATCTCAAGTTGACTTAGTGAATTGCGCAATTTAAGGATAGTGGAAATGCTATGTAAAAATTCAAATGGATTTAAGCCAAAAATAATTTGCGTTGAATAATCTTATGAAGCTAAAAGAGAACAAAACGCACGAAGAAGAGGTTAAATGGAAAATTATATCTGTAATTAGTTCAAAATTCTAGTGAAAAATTGTTTAGAAACGCAAACTGTTATACGTATTGCCTATACACAGCGACAAATTAGCAATGAAAAAAAGCATAGTCGTAAAAGTAAGAAAACACAAACGGTTTATAAAGAAATATAACCTTAAAAAACTTATCTTGAAATCTGAAACCAATTCTAATCTCAAATTGTTAATACGTTTATGTATATCAAGTAAAAACGCAGCAAAGTGTGTTTCGCGTTGTTCAACAACTAAAAACCTAAGCCAAGCCCAAAAAAAAAAAAACAAACAAGTTGAAATCTTGACAGTAATTTCAAGCAGCATATTTATGGAAAAATATTTTTGCACTCACAAACGCAATGGAGAACAATTTTTAATTCACGCAAATTTAATTCAATTAAGATATTTATTCGAACAAACAAAACAAACTTATTAGCCAAAGAGACAAATTATATATATATATATATATGTATGTATGTACAATTATTTTTCATTATAAAAAAGATCTTTATATTGTATTATCTACATTATTTAGAAAATTTATATTAGCGCTTAACTACAATCAAGTAACGAACACATAACCTATATTATCGCAATGTCGCACAGCAAATTGATAATTATGGGTCAATCCACGTTAAATCGTCAATTGGTTCGAAGCAACCATTTTTGATTTGGATGAATTTTGGTCAGAAGTTTTTTTCTTCTTATATCATGTAATGAAGTTCTGCCAAAGGAAAAATTAAAAATATGCAAAATTTTAAATTTCACAATTTCCGGAATTTTGTAAGCTTATTTTTTGAATATCTCAAAAACTGTTATAGTTAATTTCGTTTTAATTAAGCGTAGCTTGCTTCTTAGATTTTATAGTCCTGCTATTGACAATATTCAATATTACTAAACTGAAAATGAAAAGTTCAAAACAATTGATATTAGGCACCCCACGTTTTTTTTTTTGGTATAACTTATTTTATTGTCAATCACTTTAATCCTATTTTAGGTTGGTTTTAAAAGTTGAATTCAATTAAGTTAAGGTAACTAAACGAATTTTTTATTTCCATAAATTATTTTTTTAATTTTTAGTTCACATTGTAATAAAAGCGAGTTTTTAGCTTTTTTAAACAATAATTTTATTTGAGAATTCGTTTATATACAGCCCCAAATGTCACTTTTAAAACGAGAAATGAACCCATTTTTGTAACTAAAATAATTTCTGAATTTCGGGAAGTTGTTAAATTTTGAATACTCAAACAAAACGTTTAAATGTTTTCCTTTGGCAAAACATCGTTACATGAAAATTCATGTAAATCAAAAATGTTTGATTTCAACCTTTTGGTCGATTTGACATGGATATTTATTAAACAGAAAGTTATAATATTTTATTAACGTATACATACATAAATTCAAATTACTAAAACTCAGAAAAATCAAAACCAAATTGTCTAATGCCAAAGTAAATAGCAAAAAGGAAAAATTAAATTGTTTAGATGAAGTTTATAAGAAACCTCAAAACAATTGTGTTTTATTTACTTTTCAACCCGGCGAAACGTATGTATGGTCGTACATTTTCGGAGCCTAAACAGTTCAGACTAGCGATGGAATATGAAATATTCAAATTGTACCCAATTTGAGAAAATAATTGTATCTAAAAGAATACTAGCGTGCCTTAAAATTAATAATTTTTTTTACGCATTTCTCACATCGCTGAATAACTGTGCAGAAATACTAGGGAAATCTGTCTGTACTAGGCCATCTCTAATTTTGGGATTTATCAAACTAAAGGTCCAATCCCGTATTCCTCAGACTAAAAGGAGTAAAACTGGCAAAAAATAAAAATTCGCTCAGAGCGAGAGAGTAACACTGAAAAGTACGGGATCGCTTTCTGACAACTTCAACATAACCTCCAAATTTTGGTTGCAAAATTTTGCTTATTTTGTATGTAAACACGCTCATCTGAAAAATGTAAATAACAAAAAAATACTTTCAAACTCATCGGAAACCCTTTAAACAAGTAATTAAATACTTTTCAACATGCATTAGCAGAGAACACTTTTCTTTTCTTTGCAATTTGGTTGTCAAACACACTACTGCTGATCGCTTGACACATTTACCGGAATTTACCAGCAAAAAATCTTCCGACTAGAACTGGCAACTTTTGACAGAGAGAGAACCCTATTTATACTCTTTTTTGTCCTCTCAACTGTCAGACAACCGAGTACGGGATCGATTTCCTGTAATAACTGACTAATTCTGACAAGTTTCGCAGGGTTCAGGGTTTGGTAAACCACTTTAAGGCCTTCGAGAATAAACAATTTTTTAAACAAATCTGTATGGTGGAATCCCCTCAACAATACCTTCTTATGTGCCCAGCGTTTGCCAGGCTAAGGTACTTTGGCTCTCACATCCTTAACACGTTCGCTGCCAGGCATCACATATATCTGTCAGCTGAGTTTTCACGTGCGACCGCCGACACAAATGTGTGACGCCGGTTTAACTTAATTAAATTATACCTACATGCGCCGCGGTCTGCGATAGCGGGCTGTTAGATACAGTATGGTCTATAGGAAAGTCTGGCACAGGTTTGCGACAAGTGGTCTCGGAATTACAGCTACCTGTTTCATAGATTAAGTATTTAGTGTCGTTCAGAATGTGGTATCTCCTAATTGTCTAAGTGAGTCCCTGATACAAGGGGCTCACACCTAACCAATCTAACCTAGTTCGTCTGGCCTGAGTTTTGGCCTAATAATAATAATAATAATAATTTCAATATCCTTCTACTTATGATAAAGAGGCACGTTACCTCTGCCAGGTCAGTGGGTTTTGCTAAACGTTATTTAACACAGACTTAAGTGTTAGCTTGGGAGATTACAAAATACAGACAACGTGGCGTATACGCAACTCTTTTTCTTGCTGTCAAAAACCACTTTTAAATCGATAAACAGATGGTCTAGATGGATTTCTAAGGCCACACACGAGTAAAACTTGTTGACAGTAGGCTTTATTTTTCCCCACAAATTGCTCGCTAAGAAGAATTTTAACGATGTTCAGAAGGTTAATCCTTCCAAGAGCAGAACTTCACAAAAGGCTTTTCAGGCATCCACCACTTTTCAGACTTTCAGCTCTTAGATAGATAGATAGATAGTTAGTGAGTTAAATCCCTGTGACTGGTAGGTCTATTGTACCCTTAGGTCATCAGAACACCTCGACTAGCCCTAGAGACTCTATAAATTTCATACTAGATCCCGGGGATAGAGAGCGTATGTTCCCTCTCTCTTGGCCACAGGTGCCTTATGCTCCGCCCGATAAGAAGGAGTAAGAAGCACTTTATTCATAGTATATAAGATTTATTTGTCTGCGTGAAAGTACAACTCCATAACAAGCTTTCCAGTCTTTAAGAGTACAACTTCACAACAAGCTCTTAAAGCATTTCGCGCTTTTTGGGCTTTCGGCAATAACTGAATTTTGTAGCTGAAAGCCTGAAAATCGCCAAACGCCTGAAAAGCATTTTTTCAATGGTGGTTTATGCCCTGTCCAAAAAGGTGGGTTGAAGGTGTCACGCCTACCCGACCTTCGCTCACCGCCGCTTCACGACCGCCCTTATAGGAAAGTTTCCCCTTCAAGTTCCAGCTAAATACATATGTATATTCATGATTTCGACTAGAATTTTTGTTTTGAGCTCCTTTAATTTTTCTGGTTATTCCCTTTAGCGAGCGCAATTTTATTCCGATCGTGCATTTTGACACTTTCCAGATTTTTGTCAGAAACGAGAAGGAATGGATTTTTTAAATTCAAAATTAAAATGATCTGCCTTAATGTTTGAATCTAGCAAAAAAAGTTTCGCAATCATAAAAATTTGGATTTTTAATCATAAATTTATAACCTCTGGCAGCATTAAATCGTGGCATGTCGTTGCCGCTGCGGCAGCAACAATGAAATGACAGCAGTAGTGAGATGAAAAATGAACGAGTCGCCACCAACAAAACCTCCGCGCGGTGTTAAATATGGAAAAGATGAGGTAATTATTGGAGAAAAGTGCATAAAATTATCTAAAAACGCTTCTTTGAATAGTAAGCGAGCGTTAGAAATAGAAATAAGAAAATCTCCAAACCCCGAAATGGGCATAAAAGCATAAAAATCCATGTTTGTGGAGCAGAGGTGTTTGCTGTTGTCATCGGCGGGGTTGTCAAAAGTTGATTTTTTTTCGGTGCTCCGTCGCGTCAAATCCAGTAAAAATAATAAAGGGCGTTTTCAGTTAATCCTAGCATTTCTTATCTTGTTTTCTTAAATGTTTCTTTTACTCCTTGCTGCAAACATAGGCCGGCTGCGGTTTCCTCGTCAACGTCATCAAATCGCTGGGCTTTAGCGAAACAACAGAGGAACGCCAGCAAGAGAAGCTTAAGATCGAAAAAGAATTCAAACGTTCCGATCAGCGCCTGAACGAGTTGGTATCGCGTCATGATCAGCAGTTGACACAAGTTTTGCCACTGTTCAGTCAAGTGTCAACAGAGATAACATCCAGTCGAGAACGCATACATGGCGTGAAAGAAAATTTAGGTGCTTGTAAGCGTTTACTACAATGCCGCAGGGAGGAGCTGAAAAAGATGTGGACCGATGCGGTGCAGCATAAGTATGTGCTGGAGATGTTAGAGCAAATGTAAGTCTCACTGCAATACTTGAGCGTAGGCATTTGTTTTTATTTATTGTCTTTTTCAGCAACGAATTGCGTAAAGTGCCTCAACGTGTTGTCAGCTATACAGCGAAACGGCAATATTTGCATGCAAGTAAAGCGCTCACCGATGCGCTAGCAACTATACAAGGTCCGCTTAGCGATGTTGAAGGATTGGCCGACTTGCGTGTAGACTTACAATCGCGACGCCAACAACTTTATCAACGATTGCACGAAGAGCTCGTGACACAACTCTACAAAAACTCTGCCGCAGAAGCATACACCACTTTTCAACGCAATAATTCCAGTCGCCTGAATTCGAGCTTTACAAGGGGTATTGGGGCGCGACGCTCCACAGATCGCATCGAAGCGAATTCACGTGTGCGCAAGGCACTCATGGAAATGGCGCAAGGTTTTGATCTAGAGAAGTCCGAGGTAATTGATGATGCCGACTTGGTTGATCCCGAATTGAGTATGACCTACTTTATTTCAATTATCGTCGAATGTTTCGGCATGTTGGGTAAAGTGCCCGACTCATTGGAGTTGTTGCGTGTACAAATTCAAACACAACTATTAGAGGTAGTGCGGCAGACAACGTATCAATTGATTGCGCTGAATTTGAATGCAAATGAACGCGATAATCCTTTACTAACATTGCTCGAAGTTATCTTCAAACAGTTCAAGGCGATCGCTAAAACTCATGCGCTGCTGTTGAAAAACTACTTGGCAGTGGGACAAAAGTACACAGTAGTTGGACCGCAGCCATATGATCTTACAGACTTTTGGGCGCAAGCACAGTCGGTGGTAAGTTCTTAAATACTCATTTTTAGTGTGCATATTTTCTTAGCTATGCTTTTTCTATAACTGTTAAGCTACAATTGCTGTTAACCGATTATTTGGATATACAAAATGCTTCCGGGGATGATGCAACACAATCGGCGTTTGCTGAGCCAACTAACAATATAAATTCGTATTTTCTGCGGCGCAAAGTACCAAGGTAAGGAGCAGAGAAGTAGAAATTTATTAATTTATTAACTAAAAATTTGTCAATGTTTGAAAATATAAGGGAAATGTGTTCATAAAATAAATACGCAACATATTTGTTGGTTTATTAGATTGAATATATTTTTCTAAAATACTAACGCGTAACTTTTAAATATTCCAAGACACCGCATTCATATTGCTGTGCGTTGGTTAGTATTGAAGCCTTTTCTATTCACGTAACGCCAACCCTATTTATTATTGCTATTTCTAGAAAAATGTTCCCAAAAAGCTATTGGTAGTAGACTTAATTCCTTTTTATTTGCTTGGCAGATTGAAATGTTTTTTTTTTTTATTAATTCGAGCTACTATTTTTCAGTTCTAAAAAGTCGCTTTTCAAATTTGACAAGTCGTCGCATATACCACCACAACAGAGTGTCACGCCCACAATTGCCGTTAGTGGCGGAAGCGGTGTTAAGGAACATCGGCGAAATGCCTCCGACGTCTCCACAGATGATAATCTGACCACAACTGCGCTTGGTGGTGGCGGCAGTGGTAGTGGTAGCGGTAATTTTGCGCACCCCAAACAACAACGCGACAAGGTGCTGATCTGTAAAGCCGACCAGAATGTGATAACTAAAGTCTATTTGCCACTAATGGCCTATATACAAGAAATCGAGGGCTTCATGAAATGCAAGCCGGGGTGAGTTTGTTGATTACTTGAATTTATGAAACTTTTTAACCGTTATTTTATTTGCAACAGTCAGCCCTGCAGTTTACACGATTTCATCGACAATTACATTAAGGATACGTTCCTATCGAAAGGTCACAATCGCAATTTACAATTAACCATCGAATCATTATCGAAAAATCAGGATGCTTGGCGCACGATTATCACTCCAGAAGAGATGAAAGCCATGGCTTTGTCACGTCCACTGCTGCAATGTACAGCCATGGTGGAGCGGCGCCTGCAAGAGACCAAAACCCTCATTCAAGAGTTGCCGTGCTATTCGGATGAGTTGCTGAAAATGGTGTGCGCCCTCCTAAAGACGTACCGTGAAATATCGCAGGCCGCCTATAGAGGTGTTGTACAACCAGATTCGGAGGACAAACGCATCTACAGTGTGGCTTGGTTAAAGGATGAAGACATTAGCCGATTTTTAAAGTAAGTATGCAAAGTAATAGTTTAGTTTTTTTAAATTACATTAACGGCACGCATACTTTATGGTACGCAGAACACTTCCTAACTGGACTGATCTGAAATCCTCCAACCACAACCAACGTGTGAAGCATGGTAAGAAGCTGCAGCGTAACAATTTCGAACCTTCGGAAGAGGAGAGTCCAATGCAAGTGCAGCAACGCAACATACGCGAAGCTGAAATGCTCACTAGCAACTTGGGTGAGGGTGGCATTACGCAGCAGGAAATTCTAGCGGATATAAGTGTTCTGAAGGAGCTCGCAGTGCTGCAGGAGAGCATGGAGTGGTTCTCTGGACGTGTGTCGGAATTCGCCAACGAGCTGCGGAAACCTTTGGTAAATGGCCTTAATGTCATCACGTCCGAGTGTACGGCCACGCATGCGGCAGCCATCAAAGATGGCACCATTAAAGTGTTGACCAATTTGGCACTCGAATTCGATGAACTTGCCAATACGTGCCTGTTGGTGTTACACCTGGAGGTTTGTTCAAAATCTCCGTTATTATCAAAAAAAAAAAACAATTTTTAATGTTTTACCTCTATTATCTATTAGGTGCGCGTGCAATGCTTCCACTATTTGCGTTCGAAGCCAGCTACCAAATCCAACAGTTTCATGGGCGCCAAGGATGATGATATCCTCGAACCGGATCGGCAAGTGCAGATGCTAACCAAACGTTTGGCTGAAATGGATGAGGCATTCAGTGCAACGCTGCATCCACGCAAGACTAGGGTGAGTGATAGAAAAATATTAAACTACATAATTCTAAAAACGGAAAAAGGTAAAATATCTTTTTTTTTTGTAAAATCTAGTATATTTTCGAAGGTTTGGCACATTTGGCCGCGCGCATACTCATACAAGCTTCCAACTATCTGGAAAACATCGATCAAGCGACCGTGCAACGCATGTGCCGCAATTCGCTAGCATTACAGCAAACGCTGAGTAATATTACAGCATCACGCGAAGTGGCGCTGGATCAAGCGAAGAACTTTTATGAACTGCTCTGCATGGAACCGGATGTAAGCTTTAAGATAAAGAGAATAACACTTTCCATAAATAATATTTTTCAATTAACATTGTTCCTTTCAATTGCAGGATATTCTTACGAACATCGTTGAAAAAGGCGCTCAGTTCACTGAAATGCAATACCTTAATGCACTGCAGTTGTCATGTAAGGCGCGTGGCATAACCGAATCAAATGTCCTGGCGTCATATCAACAAAGGTTATCAGATATTCTAGGCGCAAAACCCTCCACTGGCATTGTTGTTTAATGCTGTTTTGCATAAAGACAAGTACGGCGATTGAAAAACTTGTAACTTTAGCGACACTCTTACTCTAGCAATTAAGACTGTTCGTTTCGCTTAACGAAATGTACTAAAATATTACAAAAATTGAAAGCTTGTGCAACTTTGCTTCTGTTTTTTTTTTACATATAAGGCACATAAGGACATTAACACGAAAAGCATTCATACACAGCTCTACATACAAACAAATACAAAACAATAGTTAAATGCATTAAAGTATGAGTGTAACGCATTGCCTGAAACAGTTGGGTTTATTTTTAGCTATTATTATATAAAATATTGATACTATTACAAAGTGGAAATTATTAATTACAATAAACAAAGTTACATATATACATATACATTAAATACTTCAATGCATTTTTATTGCCATGTAGTAGTAAACAGTAGGAATATCGGTAAACCGGTAAAACGATAATTCTAAAAGAAAAAAAATACATTGAAAAGAATTTCGAGTTAACAAAGTCGGTATGAATACCTCTACTTTTGTACTTTGTTTCAAATTTTAATTAAAGTCCTTAATTTTAGGACCAACTGTCAACGAGGTTGACGGCGCATTCGTGCAACCCTGCTGATTGCTACTGTGAATTTCAGTGCTGATAAGAAGAAGCGTTCGCATAATTTTACTGGCGGGTTTCGATATTTGTATTCTTTTATTTTTAATAATTGACTTTGGATCAAACAATAAACCATGCCAGAAAATACCGAATTAAACGCAGAACCAACAACTGTTGAGGAATCGGCTGCTAAGATAGCAGAAAAAGCAACCGGGGTTGAGAATGGCACTGCTGCAGGAGAGTCGCCGCCGGTGGCAAGCACGGAAGCCGAGGTTACGCATCCAAGCTATGAATTGTCCAAATTTAAGTTGACGCGTATTTTACAAAATAATACAATGAGAAAAACTATAGCGGTAATATCTTAAGAAAATATATAACAGCAGCTAGTCACAAATGAAATTTTTAACCTCCTATCCACATGTACATATATACATAGTTGTTGGGCTCATTCCCCGATGTTTCTACTGTTGATGTAGCTGTTGTTTTGCTCGAGAAACAAGCATTCAAGGAGCGTGATGTGCAAACTGCAAGCGAGGAGGATGCTACTGAAACTCCAAGCATATTCAGTGCTGCCCTGCAGGTGCATACGGAGTTTATCAACAACATTTATGGCAGCTTTCGATGCATTCCCAGCACTGAATTGAATGGTAAGAAAAAAATCGGACTTTCACATTTGACTCTATGTAGTGGTTTTTTTTTCGGCACATTTAACTCATAATTGTAGGCATTAAGACGACAGTGGTATATCCAGCTACAGAGAAGCACATTGAAAAGTATTCGTTGACTCAAAAGTACCTGATTACTGAAACTCCAGCGTTATATGAGCAGCTAACTTTGCCGTATATAACAAACAGCCAATTTAGTTTAGATGTAAGCCCAAATCTGTTAAGCTTTAACGGTGTTCACATGCGATTTTCCAGGCAAATTTAATAAGCGATTAGTAGAAGTATAATAATTATAATTTCATCAAGAATCTAAAGTTGGCTACCCCCCCAACTTCATTAGTTGAAAAGCCGTTCACACCAGACGATGTTGTTGCTTTCAACTGAAAGTTCCTGTAAAATCGCCCCACCGTATTTTATTTACCTTGCCATGATTTTCAATTTTATCTTACTAGTGGGTATACAATATACTGGAACATCGTCAAGAAACTGATCGTATTGTCTATGAAGATTCAGATCCCGAAACTGGCTTCATACTCTTGCCCGACTTGAAGTGGGATGGCAAAACTTTGGAGACACTGTATCTTCTTGCCATTACGCGCAAACGCGATATCAAATCTTTACGTGATCTCAACTCCACTCATCTGCCGCTTTTGCGCAATCTACGCGCTGGAATTGCAGAAGCTATCGAAAAGCGTTACGGTTTATGCGCCTCACAATTGCGCATATATTTTCACTATCAACCATCATTCTATCATCTGCACGCTCATATCAATCCGGTGCGTGGCGATGCGCCAGGTATTTGGTGTGAAAAATCACATATGCTGGATATAGTCATAAGCAATATTGAATTGATGTCTGACTATTATCAGCGTGTGACACTGCCATTTGTTTTGTTCGAGGACAGCAAGCTGTTAGATGCATATGAAGCCCAAAAAGCGGTGCAGAAGTGCGCAAAAATAGTAGAAAACGGGATTGAAAAAAATGAAGAGAAGGAGCAATGTAATGCTGATGCTGTAGATGAACCACAAGCAAAGAAATTAAAATTAGCAGCGGATGAAGCAAATGCTGAAGAACCGCCAGAAAGAAAATTGAAGGAGACACCAACCATAGAGGTTGCAGTGGAATAAATCAAGAAAATTCATGTTGTTGCACTTAAATAATTCCCAATATCAGCAAATTAATTTGAAATGTAAAAAATGTGATGCATGCAAGATTGTATTTGTTATTGGTGCAGAGAAATTCCGGTAACGAAACTGTTCACTTCACAAATCATTTATTGAAAAAAGTATTTGTTCCAAATAAACAAGCGTGTACCCAACACATTTGTTCAGCGCTGTACTTGACTAAAATGCGGGGGGCTAAGAGTAAATACACTTTTTTGCTTGACTTGAACGATGATAAATGAAGTGAACGCAGTAACCAAATAAATGCGCAGATATCTGTTAGCCATTCCGTGGTTGTTCAAAAGGATATTGTTTGAGGTAACTTCGAAGGTTTTGCTAAGTCAAGTACATACATAATATTTTACTCTATAAAGCCATTGACGGCAAATGAGAACACTTCTTAAATGCTTTTCTCTGATGCAAAGATTTTCATTAAATGAAAATTGCATTCGTTTATTTGCTTGATTTTGTGTTTTTTTTTTTTATAATGTTGATTTATGGATGAAGCATTTCATTATGATTATTATTGATTTATTAAATTTTCCTTGCGCGGGCATTATAATACACACTTACAGTTTTTTGTCGTGTTTTATGCACAGGGTTTTTCTTTATTGTGTGTGGGTGTGTATGTAAATATGTATGAAATTTAGTATGCGTGTGTTGTATCCATGCAAGGATTCTTTAAATGTACATATGTATGTATGTATGTATGTAGTACATTATTGTTGTTCTTGCTGTTTGCTGTTTCTTTTTTTGCAGTGTATTTAAAATTTCAAATACCATAAATACATTTATTAAGCTTTTCCTAGATGATTCATATGCGTATGTCTGGCTTTCATTCAGTTAGTGCTCGTACGCATGACATTTCAGAGCTGTCGCGCCCGTGTCCAGCAAGCAGCAACCAAAACAATCACATATCAATTTGCAATGGCATTGTGGATGGCGCTACGCTGCGTATAACAACAATATTGGCTACAAATTAAAGTCTCTCCATAATGATGCCATTTATATTTGTTCCGCACGTACTCCTGCTATGCGTCGCAGATGCTGTTAAGCACAGCTTACAAAATTTGAATTGAATTGTTTGTTTTTTTAACAACCAGTGTTGGAATATCAACTTAACCCGTTGATGCGCATGCGCCATATCTGCTGGAAGCCTTCTTATACAATTTATAACTAAATTCTATTACAATTTTAATTTGTTTTGCACATTCTGCACTTTTAACTCGTTTGTCTTTGCTTTTAGCTTATCAATTAAGCATTTTTAAATTTTAGTTTTTGAGTTTTTATTTTATCTTTTGTTTTGTTTCCAAATTTAATTAAAAACTTTATTTTTCTTTAGTGACTATATAAAAAATATTCGTAATCATTATACTCGTAATGAATAATAATCAAAAACAAAAAAAAAACATTACATTACATTGTCTGACTTGATGATACGAACTCGCGAAGCACCACCTGTGCTGTGTGGCTCCCATGCTCTATTTTGCAATTTAAAAATATAAATTTCTCCATCTTTTTCCATAATTCTATTTCTTCTTCTGCTACTTCAGTTTCTTGAATATCAATGTAGTGTATTTAAATATTTAAAAAAATATTAATTGATAGTGGAGGAGGCGGCTGAGGAGGTCGAGGCGTTTGTGGCGGTTACAGTTGGTAAAGGTGCTGGCATAGCTGCAGTCACAGTTGCAGTTGCTGTTGTTGGATTGGAAGAGTGCATTATTTGCTGCTGAGCGTTTGCATAGTGTTGTTGAGGTGCATTTATGCTATTCACCGTGGCAGTTAAGGGCACTGCCGCCCCCTCGATTTGCTGATCCAAAGACTGCTCATGCATTATTTGTTGAGTTGCTTGCGCTGAAAATGGCGGCAGTGCGCCAGCTGGGGGCGGCGATGTGGTTAGCACCTGCGGCTGCTGTTGCGGAACGGGCATTTGCATTTGCAAGTGCAACTGCGGTGACAGCTGTGACTGTAGCTGATGTTGCTGCGGCTGCGGCTGCTGCTGCTCATGCAGTTGTTGCTGGTGCCGTTGTTGCATTTGGTACATTGCAAGAGCCATTTCTGCACCCACACTTGCTGCTTGCAAATTCGCATTCGCCAATCCAGCATTGGGGTCTGTATCAGCCACAGACCAATTGCGTTCCATCTGGTTGAGTGCTGCCAAAGTCGCTGTCGTTGCCGGCTTTACGGCAATATTGCCATGCACGTTGGCACCTTCTGCATTGTAAATGCCAGCAGCACCACCTCCACTGCCCATGCCGATTGCACCAAAGTTGCCGTTGGCGTTGGCGGCACCAGCACTATTCCCAACAATACTCACACCGACACCGCCCGGCATATGCTCGTTGATTGTGGCACTAAAAGTTAGCGCTTGCGCACCCTGTTCGAAGGGACAGACCCCGCCGCTATTCACTGCAAAGCTGCCCCGCAACGTTTCCTCCAACAACGCTTGTATTTTATCCTGGTCATCAATATGCACGAAGCCCAGGCGCACCAATTCGTTGGTTAGATCAGAGGCCGAGTCGGCTTCCGTCACCTGACATGTCAATTGCCTGTTCATCTTGTCATCCATGCGTAGCAATATCGTCATTGCAATATCGCTGCTGTCCTCTTTCAACTTCTTAACACTGCACATCATATTGACAATGCGTCGTGACTCGATATCGACTGGCTCCGGTGTGGCCGACTTAACTGAATCGGCGCGTTCTGGTGATGCGGCACGTGAGCGAAAATGTGGTGGCTTCTTGCCGCCAAGCGCAGTCAACGGATATACACCAAATTTGACGTCCTCTACGAATTTCTCCAACTTATCTGCTGAAGGCACGTCTGCAAGACGATAGTTCTTCTCCTCCTCGCCACATGACACACGGGCCATGATCACTTCAGGCCGGTTATAGCGCTGCATCATGCCGTCTATCAGAGTCTCCGAAAACATTGTCCGATTCTTGGGCGCAAACACTAGACAGTGAGCGGCCAGAAGCTTTAGTGAGTGCACCTGCAAGCAACAGCAAAGTAAAAGTGAATTAGTCGAATGAATTAATGAAATCAATGTCTTCGAAATGCATCAAGAAGCATAAGTAGGGGACCCGTCTGAAATTGATTTAATAATTCCTCGGCAAAAACAATTTCTCGCAAATATTAGCCCCTCAATAAATAAGTTTAAGGCGTCACCTTCAAACTAGATATCTATTGAACACTTGAATATTTTTTTAATTGAACCAGAATTAGTAACATGTATTCTTGTTATTATTTTTTTAAGCTTATGCTGTAGCCACATATATAAGCTATCCCCCCTATTATGAATTTCCATACGATAGACGTTAACCGCTAGCAAGCGTTTAATTTTCGTATTATTCTCTTCATACGCCCGACAGATGTACTATTTTGAATGTCTGTGGTTTTTGTTCCCTTTTTATCGTTAACCAAAACAAATCAATTACGCTGACTTCAGATTTGCTCCGACGAAGATCGGTTCTTAATAGGGGATAACAGAATGCAAACGCTTATCGTGCATCGTACGGATTCATAAAAGGGGGGTATTTTAATATTTAACTCTTATTTACTCCGATTAACCCGTTTACTTACCTCGAAAAGTAAAGGGTGAAAGAGCAAATCGTTGGCGCTTGGCCGCTCGGCAGGATTTCGCCGCAAGCATTTGAATATCAAATCGCGCTGCAAATCATGCTCCAGGCTATTGATGGTGCGCAATATTGTCTCCTCATTGATGGTTGTCGTTTCACTGCCACTTGGCTGAATTTCCAATGCAGCCATTTCCAGGGCGCACATGCCGAAGGCATAAATGTCTACGGCGGCAGTCAACTGCTCAGCAGCACCATATTCTGGTGCCATAAAGTGATGCGTCTCGCTTTGATCACTGCGATGATGCAGCCGCATATTGTAGTGTACCGCATCGGGCACAACGGCACCGATTTTCACCAGACCATTATGCTGGATGAAAATGCTATCACAGGTGAGGTTGCCGTGAATTACGGGCGGTATGCAGGAATGCAAGTAGCTGAGCGCGGACAGAATCTGTGTACACCAGCGGCGCCACGCCTCCAATGGTAACCGTTTGGCATTGCGTTTAGTGCGTTTGAGGAACTGTTTCAATGACCCCGACGACATGTATTCCGTAATGAATATGACTCGTGGCCGTTCTGCATTTTGTGTATCTGTCCAATAGCGATGGAACTTGACTATGTTCTGATGATCTAATTGCATTAGATTATCAAAAACTTGCCGCATTTTTTCCTCTTGCGACTTAAGCTCCTGCAAATTGGCATATTGCACCTCATTCCAAACAACTTCAACACCCTCTTCGGTGTCCATAGCCAGATGAACACAATCGATACCGGGCACATCACGCTGATCTACTTCTTCGCGTCTTTTCAACCATCTCCCACATGGTGATTCTTCAAGGATTTCACTTTCATCCTCCGAGTCATCGCCTGACTCACGCGGTGACGAATCGGCTGCCATATTGACTGTATCTGTGACGACGGTTGTCGTTGAAGCGCCCATGATTTGTGGTGGCGGTTGCTGTTGATGTTGTTGTGATTGTTGCTGTTGCAGCTGTGGCGCCGCTTGTGCTGCTGTGTTTGCCCCTCCACCACCGCCACCACTGCCCCCGCCTGCTCCATTGCTGTCGCCAGCGACATTTACTTGGCCGCTTGACATTGGAGCGCGTGTGTGCAGGGCGCGTTTGCTGCTTCAGCGATTGTTATTGCGGTGGCCGTTGCTGTTTGTCTAGATAAAATCACTTTTATTTGTATTTGCTCTTGTTCAAGTTCAGTCGTATTTTTTACTCTTATTTTATCAGCTACGTTGTACCCTCGTTCGGTCGTTTGGTTGGCTGGTAGATTGGTCGATTAGTCAGTTGATGAGTTTCCTTATTGTTTTAAGGCGTATCTTTTATTTGTAATTGCTTTTTAATACGTTTCTCGTTGAGTTTTTTTCGTTTGCTTTCCTTTCGTGGTGCCCTCCTTGAAATCGTGTTCCACCTCCTGCCCCACAACAGACGTCGTTTACACTTGATTTCCCTTGCACAATATGTGCTTTTCAAGCTACTTTAACTAGCTTTTCCATATAAATGCAACCGGCTGGCGGTAATTATTGTTATTTGCAAATTTTTTGTGCAAATTCTGCCTGTTTTAAGCAATTTGCACGTCGAATCTTTCTTCTACGGCACCGAGTTTTTTTTCTGGATACACTGACAGCAATCGATGAGTGACACTGACAATCAATGTTGCCGATCCTAACCGGAAATTAAAAAGGGTGCCAATTGGCCCTTTCTACAGATATCGCAGACTCAATTTTTAAATTTTCATTGCATTATTGACGCCTTTGAGTCAATTTAGGTACACAAAGGATCTTAAATTGTTGAATGTACCGGGATAAGAGGAATTTAATGAATGAATGAATTTATGAATATTTCAAACTAGAGGTCCGGTTAAACGTGGCAATGCAAGCGCTTTTATTACGCATTTGACAGCCAAAATGCGAAATGGAAAGTTTACTTTCCGGTCTTTGTTTCAGATTTGCAGAAATCACTTTCGGAAATAAAAATAGCAAGGTGTAATAGTGCGGTTAAACGAGGCAATGCAAGCGCTTTTTCTACGCATTTTGCTGTCAAAATTCGAAATTTAAAGTCTGCTTTGCCGTGTAAATAGCCAGAAAGTCATTTTTGCAGATTCGCAGAAATCACTTTCGGAAATAAAAAATTGCAAGGTGTAACTGCAATTGAAATTAGGCAAATTACTTTCGATTTGTAATTGAAGTTGTGCTCGATGCTAGCTCTTCGCTTAGCTCGCCGCTCCACTATGTTTTATTAATTCGGGTTTTTATTCTAAAGACTTGGGAACCTCTGCATTGCCACACGCAACCCTGTGTTTTATCATAAAGCATGAAACGTCAAAACCCGGTGTATTTTTTACTTTTTTTTTGCATTGTGCGACTCCTTGGAATTTTCAGCGATAATTGTTCCAATATTTGTATTTTCGGAAAATTTTCTAATTATACAAAATATGGAGGGCCTTCTGGGGCGCAGCCAATTTCTAGGCGAAGCAGTAAATCTGTTTACGGATGAGAAGACTGCAAACGCACGTAGCAAGGTATGGAGTGGTAGCAATTAGGAATGTCGTTGGAAACTTATTTTGATCTTTCCAGGTAGTAGAGTGGTTAAATGAAGTACCCAACGCAGACCCTTCGACCAAATGCGATCTGTTGGTTAAGGCACAAGAAATGATTTTGGGCTCATGTGTTGAGTTGCTGGAGGAGTTCTTGGAACACATACTCTCGCTTGCGCATGATGCCAATGCAGATGTCCGGAAACAAGTTGTCTGTTTCATTGAACAAATTTGGTAAGTCTTCAGTCAGTGGCTTTAGAAAGCAGAAATTAAATAAAAAAGTATAACCCTTACCCCAGTAAGGTGAAGGTGGAGTTGCTGCCACAAGTAATAAGCGTCATTTCAATGCTCTTGCGCGATCGCTCGCCCCAGGTAATTAAACGTGTCATACAGGCGTGCGGCAGTGTATATAAGAATGGCCTACAATGGGTATGTAGTGTAACTGAGGTGTCAGACAGCGCTGAACAGGCCTGGAGTGTTCTTAGTCTGCTAAAAGCTCAAATCTTGGATCTGATCGACAACGAGAATGATGGAATTCGTACCAATGCTTTAAAATTTTTGGAAGGCGTTGTTGTACTGCAAAGTTATCCAGATGAAGATAGCCAAAAGAAAGACAACGACTTTTCGTTGGAAGATGTACCTCTGAATTTTAAGTTGGTAAAACGAACCAAGTTGGAGGAGGAAGCATTAAATATTTTCGATATATTGCTGAAGTTTCATGCAGCTACACATATTTCTTCTGTGAATCTTATCACCTGCACTGGCAGCCTTTGTACCATTGCCAAATTGCGGCCAAGTCTTATGGGCCCTGTTGTGGACGCCTTTAAGCAACTTAATTCAAATCTACCGCCTACTCTCACAGATTCACAGGCTAGCTCTGTACGTAAAAGTTTGAAGATGCAATTAATGGCATTGCTAAAAAATCGCGGATCGTATGAATATCAGGCGTCCATAAGACACATGTTGTCAGATTTGGGTGCGTCACAGAGCGAAATCCAACGGGCTATACCTAAAATGGACAAACAGGAACAAACGCGTAGGCAAAAAAGAATATTGGAAGGCGCAGCAAGTAATCTTAATAAAAAAATGCGTCTTGATTCGATAAATCGTCAACAGGAGCGTAGGTCTAAATCGAGTCAGGACGATGAATCTGCAAAAGATGTAGAAATGGAGGTCGATGAGGAGGAAGTAGAAAAGCAGCGTGAGCGTTGTTTGCGTGTAAACGAGAAATTTTTGGCTGAAAAACTGCGTGTTACTGATGTAGCAGTAAACTTAGTAGTTGAATTTTTACCTAAGCTGCCGGACGAACCGCCAGAGCATTTCCTAAATGAATACGCGCCCATTCGCGATATGTCCATACAGCAGCAAGTATCGAAGATATCTAAGGTACTTGGCGAACAGATGACAGCGCAAAAGATTGGGCCAGGTGCTGCAGCATTTAGTAAGGAAACGCCTATGCGACCACGACGCGCCGAACCCATGGACACAAATGAGAGGTAAGCATACGGGGGCAGACGACATTGAATACATTCACATATTTTGTTTTTAGTGACCAACCGGTCGACGAAGACCAAATGAGAAAAGATGAAGCCACAAAAAAATTGCGTGAAAACATGGAACGAGCCAAAGGTGAACAAGAGCTGATCGAGCGCATGAAAATGCGCGCCAAGACGTTGAAATTGCAAGAGGTTACCAAACCTTTTTCGCGTCCGATGAAAGAAAAATTCCTCTTAGAGGCTGTAAAGCGTATTTTGCAATCGGAACGACAGTGCATTGTGGGCGGCGTGTCTGCAAAGCGTCGTAAAACACTTACCGTAATGGCAGCCACATTTCCCGACAAAGTACGTTACTTCATTTTCGATTTCATCATGCTGGATGTGAAGCAGCGCATTGATTTGGCCTTTTCTTGGCTGTATGAAGAGTATTGTCTACTACAAGGGTTTACCCGGCATTCTTACGTAAAGTCAGAAAATCGACCCGACTATGCTTACAACGAACTACTCAGCCAACTAATAAGAGGGGTGCGTGAAACGTGTGAATTGAAAGATAAAATTTTATTGATACGACGCATATTTCTCGAAGCGCCATTGCTACCAGACGATGCTCTCAATCAGCTGGTGGAAATGTGCTTCTCCGAAGAATTCGTAAATCCTGGCGTTGACCTACTGAAAGACTTGGCTGTTATGCGTCCACCACGCAAGAATAAACTAATAAGAGTGCTTTTAATGTTCTGTGTGCATGAACGTACGGACTTGAGAGAGCGGGCCTTAGAGCATATAATCGCGTTGTATCATATACATAAAGTGCTGCCGAATCGAATTGAAGAATTTGCTTTGGATTGGGCCAAACATCTGGAGAAGGACGTGCCACCGCCAAGTATTTTCACAGAAGAATATGGACGACCGGCAGCTGAAATAGGCTGGAAAGAGGAAACGGTTAAGACCTGCCTGACATTGCTGCTGACATTACTGCCATATAAACCAAAGGGTAAGTGACTTGATCGTCTTTACGCAACTATTTTTTTATTTTCTGCTTCTAGTTTTTCTAAACAAACTTTGCCACATCTACACTACCACTGGCGCTGATCTGAAACGTACTATTCTTCGTTCAATTGACCCAACCATAAAGAAAATGGGCGCTGAAGACTCAACACTGCTTACATTTATCGAAGACTGTCCCAAAGGCACTGAAACTCTCATAATACGCGTTATACACTTGCTGACTGAGCGTGTGGCAACACCTAATCCGGAACTAGTGCACAGAGTTCGAGAACTCTATGCGAATAAAGTCAAGGATGTGCGCGTTCTAATACCTGTGCTCAGCGGGCTCACACGCCAAGAAATTTTGAATGCTCTGCCAAAGTTACTAAAGCTTAATCAAATTGTAGTGAAGGAGGTGTTCAATCGTTTGTTGGGCGTAGGCGCTGAATTCGCTAACCAAACCATGGCTGCCACGCCAACCGATATACTCGTCGCCTTACATACTATGGATCCAAGTGCTTGCGATTTGAAAGCAGTAGTTAAAGCCACGTCAATTTGTTTAGCTGAAAAGGAAGTTTTTACGCCAGAAGTGCTAATTGGCGTATTGCAGCAGCTAGTCGAAGTGGTACCTATACCGACCTTGCTAATGCGTACCATTATCCAGAGCATAACACTATATCCACGCTTAACGAATTTCGTTTTAAATCTGCTGCAACGACTCATATTGAAGCAAGTGTGGCGTCAAAAAGTTATTTGGGAAGGTTTTCTCAAATGCTGTCAACGTTTGAAACCACAATCTTTGCCAGTATTGCTTCATTTACCGCATCATCAACTTGTGGATGCGTTGGAGCAGTGCCCCGATTTGAGGCAACCATTGTATGAATACGCGCAGAGCATTCAGGAGGAACCGATGAGCGGCATAACGCCCCAGCTGCTGGATATCATATCCGGGAAGACTGTGGATGTTTTTATAACGGTAAGTGATGAGTAAATAAAAAAAGAGAAATCTACTAGATAATATGTATATATGTACTTAAATTTCTCATTACTTTTTTATTTTAGGACGAAACCGGCGGTTACATAACCGTTGATCAAATCAAAAAAGAGATAGAAGACCCCTCTGAAATCGCAGTTATATCTACAATTCCCATTGCCCCGGTGCCAGCTCCGGTTCCAGCACCTATTCCCATACTTGGCGCCATCAACACTTCAATTATTCCCAAATCCGCCCAACCGCTACCTCCAGGCGAAGATTAGACAGTCGCATAAAAATATTTTATCTCTGATTATATATAAATTCCAAACTCGCTTATAACTAAATACATTTTTTTTTTACCGGCCGATTATGGATAGCAACGCGAACTTAGTTGGGTTGCCCATGGGCAGCGCCAGTGAAATTAAAATGTATATCATAAATAACAACTCTAGTGAATTGCTATAAAGTGGAAGATAATAGAATTTTGAAGAACAGGCAACCAGTTAAAAAAATTCTGCTGAAACGGTTAAAAAATAATATAATTATCTCAATCAAAATTTCCGCGGCTACTACAAAAATGCAGTTGGCAATATTAGGAAATCAGCTGCCAGTTGCTATCCGTAATCGAGCCATTAATTTATGTACAATCGCTTCCAGCTTGGTGGTTTAGTTGTTATAATTCTTGACGTAGCGCATTAATAAAAGTGTTATTTTTCAAACCGCCACTTCAGCCACCATTTTTTCTCCTTTCAGCCCGGCCAAAATATTTAGAGCCGTTATGCGCGACATTTCCGTGCGCGTGTTCACATCCGCGCTACCAATGTGTGGCAATATAACAACGTTATCTAATTTCAGTATTGGATCATCGAGCGGAAGCGGCTCCGGTGTGGTTACATCTAAACCTGCGGCCAGTATACAGCGTTCTTTTAGTGCGGCGCATAGTGCAGGCTGATCTACTACGCCACCGCGCGCGGTGTTAATGAAAATTGCGCTCGGTTTCATTTTCTCGAACGCAGCGGCGTTGAAAATTTCTTTCGTCTCAGGAGTGAGTGCACAACAGACTACGATAAAATCTGATTCACTTAACATTTCATCGAAGCTTACACGTTGTGCATTCACTTTGGCCGCTTCAGCCGTGCGCTCAGTGCGCGTAGTGTATGTTAGTAAGCAAGGCTTAAATGGCACTAAACGGGCTGCGATTTCCTGTCCGATCCGTCCGAACCCATAAAGACCTACGCGAGCGCCTTTAAGACCTTGACCGCACATCCAATTAGGCGCCCATGATTTCCAACCGCCATTGTACACTTCTTTACCAGCTTCGAATAAGCGCCGGCTGGTAGCAAGCAACAGCGCCACAGTTAACTCAGCTGTAGCGTCGGTGAGCACATCCGGTGTATAGCCAATGCGTATGCCGCGCTTCTTGCATTCAGTCAGATCGATGTGCTCATAGCCGACCGATATGGTGGCGATACACTTCAACTGTGGACCGGCGCTTTCAATGACCTCTGCGTCTATTTTGTCGGTTAGTGCACAGTAGATAGCGTCTTTGCCGACAACTTGGCGTAGCAGTTCTTCACGCGGTACTGGCAACGGTTGCGACCAGCTGCTAACATTGCACCTGTGAAAAGTGGATTGCACTTTTATCGTATTGAGCTTTACTTAAAATTTTACTCACTCTGCCTTTAGCAATTCTATGCCCACTGGTGCAACATCGGGACGTGTAATATACACACTCTTGCGTTCGCTAGACATTTTTGAATAATGCAGTGAGTTTCGCACAAATTTGTGTGATTGCGTAGCTGCAGAGAACCGGAATGTTGGTGATAGCTTGTGCAGCAGGCAAATGATGGAGCGTGTCAGCAGCGACATTGGAGCGGGGCGGTCAAGGCGTATTTAACAAGGTGGTGTTGGCCGTATATAAGTAAAAAATTACACTAACAAATTATACGCTGATGTCCATACTGTCATTGGTATGAGTTACAACAAACACATCATTTTGACGTAATGGCCTCCACGGCGAAAAACTCAGCTGTCGCCCCAACACCACCTTGTTTAATACACCTTGGGGGCGGTATTGGTTTTTGTTGTTGTAGACTTCCAACAACTTTTCATGAATCAGCTGTTGTCGTTCATTCAGTGAAAGAAAAGCTGAAGTCAATTAAGATACTTGGTAATTCTCTAGGGGGGGTAACAACCCCTAAAAAAGGGGCGGAAAAGTCGGGAGGGGTACCAAACGACGCGTTTCAGCCCACCTAATAACAATCCGGAGGGGGGAGGTAATAGGTTTGTTCGTCGAAAATCCAGCAAGAATTATCCAACACTCAAAATATCAGAGAGTAAGAAAAAATTCTCTCAAATTCTCTCTCATGTTGAGAAACTTGCAAATTTCTGCACGAACGCAAATTTGCAGGAACTTGCAAGTTTCGCTGCCAGCTGGCGTCCACGGTTGCATTTCAAACATAAAAAATTTTTATAGAATTTTTAAAATTCTTTCCGATGGCCAAAAACAGGATATACATGTATATTTCTTGTTGTTCTGACTTTCTTTAACATTCATTTCAATTTCTTCATCGTACTAGCTGTCGGGTTTCTTAAATCGACTCTGGTTGCAATTGCATTCCGATTGCGAATAACATTTTTTTCAGCCGAATTAAGTTCAAATCATTGGAATTAACTAAATTAATTATATCAACAATTATTTACTTCCTTTTTTCATAAAAAAATCGCTCGTGTTTATAAATTTTTTAATTTAACGAACTAATTTATTCAAATTATTGTAGACAAAAATGCAACCATGCGCCACAACCACATGTTTTCGTGTTTGCAAATTCTTGCTGGCAAAATTTTTTCCAGCAAGAATTTGCAACTTCTCTCCAAGAGAACTGTCACTTTGCTCTCACAATTTTTGAGTGTTGGATAATTTTTTGGTCTGCACGAACGCGATTTGGGCAAAAATCGTGATAATTCGTACAAATTCGTACAAATTTTTTGCTCGACGAACAAACCTAATATTATTAACCATTTAAAAGTTATGAACAAAAAACTTTTGTTAAATTTCGTTGTTTTCTATACCCCTCCCGACTTTTCCGCACCTTTTTTAGGGGTTGTTACCGCACCCTAGAGAATTCCAGATACTTAAATTTCTGGAATTAAAAAGGTTAAAAAAATTTCTGGGTTAGAATTCATTTGGTTACAATAAATACAAGTGCTGTTAATTATTAGAAGAGCATCCTCATCCGGACGTATATGAATATCCGGAACAAAGAAAATCCCGAATGTTTTTCAAAGATCCGGCAGTACTCCCAATCAGCTGACTTCACAGTTTACAACAAAAACAATTGCAAATCAAAACATTTGTTTTTTTCACGTCCGTGGCTGGCCAATCAGTTTTTCCTATTTAAATCCAATATTTTGGTTAAAAAAGTTATGCAAAACACTTTTCACATCTTTTGCCGTATTGTTCGAACGCAGCTGAAAGAAAAAAGGATTTTGTCTGCAGCTTTCAGCACAAACTTTGCACGCCACATGTCGCCAGGAAACTACACAACGGAAGCTACACAAGTGGCCCAAGCTTTGCAGGCAAATTTGAAACCGCTTGGTGTGCCTTCGAAAATGCGTGTAGATCCTGCATTTAAGAAAATAGATACACCAGAATTCCAAAGTATTTTCACCGAGGAACTACGCGCATTGATTGATATCTTCGAGCGGCATAATTATGAGCTGCGCATTGCCGGTGGTGCAGTGCGTGATATTGTAATGGGCTTAACCCCGAAAGACATCGATTTAGCTACTACAGCAACACCGGATCAAATGAAAGAAATGTTCTCCAAGGAAGACGTGCGTATGATAAATGCGAAGGGTGAGAAGCATGGCACGATAACGACACGAATACATAATAAAGAAAATTTCGAGGTAACCACATTACGCATCGATGTACTCACCGACGGACGACATGCAGAAGTAGGTGTACATACTCTCTTTATTTCATGTAATTTTTTTAAATACATTTTCCTTCAAGGTGCAATTCACAACGGACTGGCAGTTGGATGCAAATCGCCGTGATCTTACAATAAATTCCATGTTCCTCGGCTTTGATGGCACACTTTATGACTATTTCTATGGCTTTGATGATTTACTACAACGTCGCGTGGTTTTCGTTGGCGATCCTAATGTCCGAATTAAAGAAGATTATTTACGTGTTTTGCGCTACTTCCGTTTCTATGGTCGCATAGCACGCGAACCATCGAAGCATGATGCTGAGACCTTAAGAGCAATTCGGGAAAATGTCGGTGGTTTGGCGCGTATTAGTGGCGAGCGCATATGGACAGAGCTACAAAAGATTGTGGTTGGAAATTTCGGTTGCGAATTGGTACAGGAAATGATTGCTGCTGGCTTAGCACCTTACTGTGGTTTGCCAGCGGAACCTAACATAGACGAGTTTAAACGGCTTTGCGAAGACTTGGCAAATTATTCACCGCCTCATTTACCGATATTGTATTTGATTGCATTACTGCATACCTCAGAGGATGCTATGCAGCTGCATCAGCGACTCAAATTGTCAGCTTATGAACGTGATTTGGCGCTATTTATTACTCAGAATCGACATAAGGTAATTATGATAAAAAGTTCTTATACAGTATGTACATAGATGTATTTGTGTACAAACTTGTATTCCAGGTTGATGCAGATTTTCGAACGCTGCGCGACTTTCAACGACTTTGCCTGCAGCCATATGCTAAACGAGAATATGTCGAAGAGCTGCTAAAATATACAAACAAGTTCAATCTTTACCACGATTTGAAATCATGGAAAGCTCCTCGCTTTCCACTCTCTGGTAGCATGTTGAAAGAACGTGGTTTAGCGGCGGATAAACGAATGGGTGTAATCATGACACGACTACGCTCAATTTGGATCGATAGCGATTTTTCGCTGAGTGGCGAGGAACTGTTAGATCAGCACTTGCAGGGAGTTATAGAAGGCCTAGCGACGCCACCCGCCACGCCAAACAAAAAACGCAAATCGCAATGATGTAAACCGTAAAATAATATTAGCAGGAATGGATTTTACAATTTTCTTTATAAAATTGCTCATATTTTTATTTTGAAACTCTTCAAAATACTATTATTGTTACATACATATTTTTTAATTCATAATCGAAATATTTGTACTAGACTTTTTTT